CTGCACCAAACATCTGTATCATGTGATCATTACTCTAGAACCACACCAGATGTCTGTATCATGTGATCATTACTCTAGAACCACACCAGATGTCTGTATCACGTGATCATAACTCTAGAACCACACCAGATGTCTGTATCACGTGATCATAACTCTAGAACCACACCAGATGTCTGTATCACGTGATCATAACTCTAGAACCACACCAAACATCTGTATCACATGATCATAACTCTAGAACCACACCAGATGTCTGTATCACATGATCATAACTCTAGAACCACACCAGATGTCTGTATCACATGATCATAACTCTAGAACCACACCAGATGTCTGTATCACGTGATTATAACTCTAGAACCACACCAGATGTCTGTATCCCGTGATCATAACTCTAGAACCACACCAAACATCTGTATCACGTGATCATAACTCTAGAACCACACCAGATGTCTGAATCATGTGACACACACACACATCTGGTGTGGTTCTAGAGTTTTTGGTTTTATATACTCTTGAAACAGAACACTTTTGGGGAACCTGTGGAGGTACATTTAGTAATCTATACAACTTACATATGTCATTCAAAATGTCTTATTAAGCTTTACTGTTTAAAATACAATATTTTCTATTGTTACATAAAAATTAAGTTAAGAATGGTGCTGAGTCAGCTGTTGGTAACATGTAACTCAGTATAATGTAACATGTAACTCAGTATAATGGAAAAACAAAATCATGAAAGGCAGGAAGAGTTCCTTGTGAACAAAAGATTATACAGGGTCTGAAAAAGCTAGTAAACTCTCCTGTATTAAAGGATAAAGTTATGGCCACCACAAGGATTAAATGTTAGAGTGAACTGTAAAAGACAGTCATTGGCTCTGTGACGGAAGGGAAAATAATTATAGTCATCAATGTTTTACTGAAGAATACATGCTAGTGTCTTTTCCATTAAACAAATACCAGATAATTCAACTCCTAAACTAAATCAAAGTATGACGGACAGACAGAAATATGATAAAAGAAATTATAATACTTGTGATCTACAGTGAAGACTACTCAACTTTAATCTGTAAAAGTTCATAATATTATTTCAATATTTGAAGCTAATAGTTTTGAGGCTTACAAGTACTTACTCTGGAACATACCTTAATCTCAGAACGTTTAAATGGTTGAAGTGTTGTAGTCCCGAGCGTGTCACCTTTATTTTTAAAACTGGGTGTAGCATCTTTACTGGTGCCTGTGATGACAGGCTTATTGGACTTCTTAGATTTGATGGTCTGAAAAATAGTAACAGATTCCACATACATGGTTAACAGCAAAATACATAAAAAATATCACTACTGCTGTATAGAATAACAGTATTTCCTTATAAAACTGCTCCACAACTATCTGTGAAATACAAAGAAAAATTAATTATTATTTTTGTTCTTTGTGAAATTTAATTATTTGTATAATATACTATTCTAGCCAAACACGTTTTCCATACAGTTATTATACAGCTACAAATATCATCAATTCTAAGCCTAAACAAATGTACATGTGCTATTTTACTATTACTAAATACTCCAAAACCAAGTTTAAAACATCAAGAAGAAATCTTCAGTTATTGTAAACATTTATTTTATAAAACTAGATCTCTGAAACGAACATTGACACTTTCCAGTCATACCCTACAAATAGTAGTACGTACATAATTATGGATGACACTTTCCAGTCATACTCTACAAACAGTAGTACGTACGTAATTATGGATGACACTTTCCAGTCATATCCTACAAACAGTAGTACGTACGTAATATGGATGACACTTTCCAGTCATACCCTACAAACAGTAGTACGTACGTAATTATGAATGACACTTTCCACTCATACCCTACAAATAGTAGTACGTACATAATTATGGATGACACTTTCCACTCATACCCTACAAATAGTACTACGTACATAATTATGGATGACACTTTCCAGACATATCCTACAAACAGTAGTACGTACGTAATTATGGATGACACTTTCCAGTCGTACCCTACAAACAGTAGTACGTACGTAATTATGGATGACACTTTCCAGTTGTACCCTACAAATAGTAGTACGTACATAATTATGGATGACACTTTCCAGTCCTATCCTACAAATAGTAGTACGTACATAATTATGGATGACACTTTCCAGTCATATCCTACAAATAGTAGTACGTACATAATTATGGATGACACTTTCCAGTCGTACCCTACAAGTAGTAGTACGTACATAATTATGGATGACACTTTCCAGTCATATCCTACAAATAGTAGTACGTACATAATTATGGATGACACTTTCCAGTCATACCCTACAAACAGTAGTACGTACGTAATTATGGATGACACTTTCCAGTCATATCCTATAAACAGTAGTACGTACATAATTATGGATGACACTTTCCAGTCATAACCTACAAATAGTAGTACGTACATAATTATGGATGACACTTTCCAGTCATAACCTACAAATAGCAGTACGTACATAATTATGGATGACGCTTTCCAGTCATATCCTACAAGTAGCAGTACGTACATAATTATGGATGACACTTTCCAGTCATATCCTATAAATAGTAGTACGTACATAATTATGGATGACACTTTCCAGTCGTACCCCACAAATAGTAGTACGTACATAATTATGGATGACACTTTCCAGTCATATCCTACAAATAGTAGTACGTACATAATTATGGATGACACTTTCCAATCATATCCTACAAATAGTAGTACGTACATAATTATTGAATCTGAAGTCATTCTCTAGGCCTTTCAGTACTTTAAATAACACATTTATACATTACATATTCCACGATCCAGGTACACCAAACAGAAAACTGATTTTTTACATTATGTATCCAAATCTATGAGGGAAAGTAACATGTCATGTTTAAATAAAAGCAACAGAAGTCACATTACTAAGGAAGTTTATGACTGATGAATAACTTCACACAATACAATCCTTTTTATGAAAATCACTTAATATTTATCACCGCATCATTGCAGCTTCTCCAAAACAACTTCCTAGCACAAAATGAAATGAAAAACGTGTTTCTAAGTTACCAGAACTACTGCCAAATCTCAAGTATCGTACCATTTTCTTCATGGTCTTGGTACACCGAGTACAATACCAGACACGACGAGGATCATTCATATCAAAGTCTGTAACAGATGGCCGATGACACTCCTGATAAAAAAATTAAACACAAGTGAAATAATTGACAATTATCTTGGACTTCCATATCCAAATTGTTATTATTTTTTAACATGAAATTTTTTTACTTCGTACTGTCCATATTAAAATAAATTGTAAAACAAAATCTAAGGAAAAACAACAAGTAGAAAATCTATAAGGCATATAACAGTTCTGTAAAAAAATCTACACAGAAATAATCTCATAAGTAAAGGAAGATGTTTCACTTGGTTGTGTCTAAAAGATACTTGGCAAATGTGTCTGTGCCAGAAGATCAGTCCATAAAGTACACTCCATGTTTGAAAAACAAAAGATATTACACCCCTGTAAAATTATGAAAGTGTTTTTATACTGAAATAAAACAGTAATGTAAAACCAACTTTTACTAACAATAATTGACTGAGCACCCACCACTTCGAGACTAAAATCAAGAAAACCTTTCTATAAGTCAAAGAAAGAAAACTTCAACATTAAGGAAGCTTGGAGAGAGGAATGAAGAGAGTGCCCTCCCAGGGGTGGACACTGAGCCACTGTCCGGTATCTATCACCTAACCAGAAAGCAATGGACACAGGCAAACAGGCTGAGGTCAGGCCATGGCAGAACGGCCAATCTGCATTGATGTGGTTATCGTAAATCTCCTATATGCTCAGCATGTCAGGAATCCCCACAAGACACAAACCATCTCGTGTTGCATAGTCCGGTCACTGCAGTACCGGGGGGATGTGGTACAATCCATGAAGTGGGTGAGGCATTCACTGACTGGATCATGACTACGAATTTGGAGGTGTGAGAAACACCATAAGCAATAACATAATGAGACTTGACCATTTTACTAGTAACGATTCAGGACTGAAAAGCTTGATCATTGAGAGAAATTAGTTTAAAATACTCCAATATTAGATTGATTCAGGACTGATAATCTTGATCCTTGTGAGAAATTAGTTTAAAATACTCCAATATTAGATTGATTCAGGACTCAAAAGCTTGATCCTTGAGAAAAATTAGCTTAAAATATTCCAATATTAGAATTATTCAGGATTGAAAAGCTTGATCATTGAGAGAAATTAGTTTAAAATACTCCAATGTTAGAATGACTAAGGACAGAAAAGCTTCATCATTGTGAGAAATTAGTTTAAAATATTCCAATATTAGAATTATTCAGGATTGAAAAGCTTGATCCTTGAGAGAAATTAGTTTAAATATTCCAATATTAGAATGAAAGTCATTTATTGTACTTTAAACTGGATGCTATAGAATAGCTACATCCACAGAGAAAAGGCTTCTACCTGATAATGTATGATTTGTGTATATTTATGTTTTTGTGGTGTTACTTGTGGACAACAACCCAGTTTATAGATCAACTATATCAACTCTCCACCTACAAAACATTATACCGGATTTTTCAGTGTATGAGACACACTTTTTACCTCAAAATTTGATGTCAAAATC